GCGCCCGCGTCCAAGTCCCGAGCCACAACGCGCAACACCAGCGCGCCCACCGCGTTGTTCTCCCGCACGTACGCGCTGTACGACGCCTCCTCGAACACCGGCGCGTTGTCGTTCACGTCCGACACCTCCAGCAACAGCTCCGCGCTGCTCCACATAGCCGGGCTGCCCCGGTCCCGGGCCACCACCGTCACGCGGTGCTCGGACGCCTGCTCGCGGTCCAGCGCGCTCGCCGTCACCACTTTGTAAGAGCCGCCCGACGACGCCACGATCGACAGCGGCGCCTCTCCCGACAGCTCGCACGACACCTCACCGTTCTCCCCGGAGTCCCGGTCCCGCACTTTCAGCAGGGCAACCACGGTGCCCACTGGCGCGTCCTCGGGCACTGGGCTCGACAGTGACAAAACGGTGATCTCTGGCGCATTGTCGTTCTCGTCTGTGATGTCTATCTGAACTTCGCAGTGATCAGTGAACCCTCCGCCGTCCGTCGCCTCCAGGCTGAAGCTGTACTTACTCTTCTCCTCGAAGTCGAGGGGACCCACTGTCCTGATCTCGCCGCTCTCGCTGTCGACAGAGAATAAAGCGCTGACGGAGTCCGGGACGTCGCCGAAGGAATAGAAGACCCGCCCATTGGACCCCGCGTCCGCATCCGTGGCCCGCACCTGCAGCACCAGTGACCCTGCCGGCAGATTCTCCGCCACTCGAGCCTCGTACACTGTTTTGCTGAACACGGGTGGGTTGTCGTTGGCATCAGACACGTTGACACGAATCTGGACAGTCCCAGACCTTGCTGGGTCCCCGCCATCCACTGCGGTCAGCACCAACTCAAAGGAGCTCTGCTTCTCCCGGTCCAACGCTCGCTCCAGCACTAATTCCGGCTGCTTCTTTCCGGCTTGCCTCTCCTTCATGGCCAGACTGAAGGACGGGTTGCTGGTGAGCTCGTAAGTCAGCAGCGAATTGCTGCCCACATCTGCATCTCGTGCCATCTCCAGGGGAAAACGAGTCCCGGGAGCAATCCATTCACCGATCTCGAGTTCCAAAACAGCCTTTCTGAAGGACGGGGAGTTGTCGTTCACGTCCTGGATGTCCACCTGGACGTGGAAAACATTAAGTGGGTTGTGCAGCAGCGCCTCGAAGCTGACCGAGCAGGACGCCGACTCGCCGCACAGCTCCTCCCGGTCCAGCCTCTCGCTCACGTACAGGTTCCCGTTCCCCTCGCTCACCGTGAAGTATTGCTTGTCCGCGCTGAGCCGCAGCTTGCGCGCCGGCAGCTCGTCGGCGCTGAGCCCCAGGTCCCGGGCCAGCGGCCCCACCAGCGAGCCTCTGGGCAGCTCCTCGGCCATGGAGTAGCGGAGCCGCTCCGCCGCCGCCCGCCAGCACAGCCACAGCAGCACAGCGCCCAGCACCGCCGCTCGCCCGCCGCCCGGCCCGCCGCTCGGCCTCCGCCCGCCCGACATCGCCCACAGCGCTCGCTCGCCGAGCTCGCCAGGCTCCTGCCGCCGCCCCGCCCCCCTCGCAGCCGCTCGGCGCAGCCACAGCAGCGCCCGACAAAGCAAACCCGGACCGCCGCCGCCTCCCACTCGCACGCCTCTGCTGCCCGCGCCGCCTCTCGCCTCTGCTGCCCGTGCCGCTGCCGCTCTGGCCCGCACTGCCCGCCCGAGCCAGCAGCCTGCGGGGACAGCACGCACAGGCGGCGGCGGCGGCGGCTCCAGCAACGCTCGCCGGCGGCCCAACAGCGGCACCCGGAGGCGCCGACACAACACTGCAGCCGCCTCACGCCCGCGCTCGGCGGGGAACAACTTTGGCCCGGGATGGGGCTGCAACGGCCCTGGGGTCTCCAAAAGAATTTGCAACTGAGATTCTCTGTTGAATGCTTTTAGGTCACCTCCTTGAGTTATACTGAATAGTCACAAGCAAAGATTCGTGGCACAGCAATACTTAAGGGAATTCAACTGCTCTTAATGAAATCATTGTACAACTATAAGATCAAGAAACTATATTAGGTATTGTAGATTTTAAGAGGCTTTTTGCACTCCGTCAGTTATCTGGAATTCTTGCATTCCTTCCACGGGGCAAATGAACGTGAAAAATAGATCAGCAATTGTTATATCTCTGTGCTAAAATAGCAGAATAACACCCATTGTTTTGTTTCCTATTCATGAAAGGTCCTTTTGGGCCTCCATGTTTGAGAACACAAGAATAGGAAAGTGCAAAGCCATTTCTGAGTCTTTCATAGAATCAAAGAAAAGATGTTTCACACAGGAATTACAACCCATTCTACCCATCTAACATGGCTCGTTATTGCTGCATGAGTGTCACTGAATTTCAGGAAAATGAAAGCAGGATCGCAGGTTAAAGACCGCACAGGCCTTGACACCAGACCTGTAATCCAACCACTGCCGAAATAAAACCACTTGGACACGCTTTTTTTCTTGGTTCAAATCCAGTCTCTCACCTTCCTCACCATTCTGTGTCTTTGGTGGCAACAAAGGAAACTGTTTTGCAACAGGTACACAGGAGGGTCACAGAGCACCTCAAACCAGAGACACCAGCCACAGCCATTTATCTGAACAGTGAAGAAACCAAATTGCTTGGAACCACTGGTGAGGGCCTCATCTAACTGCTAGGACAAATGGAGCTTGACACATTTCTTCTATCCATTTCAAACTATTCCACTGTGAACTCCTCCCCTGGCTCTGTCTCTGGATAGACAGATGTCTTCCCTCTGTCATCACATAACAGGAAAGCAAATTTGGCAGACAGACACCGCTAAAAGAAAAGTTGCAGTGCCACCTTTCAGATCCCAAGGATCACAACACAGATTTTTCTGCTCAATGCACTAATTGGAACTATTGTGAAATGTTATAAAGGCTATAAAACTTTGGCAGCTTATTCAGTGATCCAGTCATCAAAGTACCACTCAAAGGCAACATCCTCCTTCTCCAGCACAGGAATTTCTTGGAAGGTGTGTGACTCTTGATGCAAAGTTTCCATCTGTGCTGACAACTGCCATTCACAGCAAACATCGTGAAATGGAAAACCAAACTGGTGAACCCACAGCCTGCTCATTGGAGGGTAAATGATGGAACACCAAAACACAAAGACACCTTCACACAATTTTCAGAAGGCCATGAAGAAACCCTGGCAATAAGCAAAGTGCTTCTCACACACAGCACCCCCAAGTCTCTCCTCAAACCCTTCACAAGTCACAGAATTATTACATATCTTCAAAATTGGCAGAGAAACTCCACAAAAAGAAACGTTCCTCAGACAGCTTCCCATTATCGTGGGTAATATTTGACTTCTGCACCTGTATATGTGACGAGCAAGAGAATTTCTTCCAGTAACATTTTAACAAAACACTTCTATTAAGAGGAAAAAAGTAAGAATTTTACATCTGCAAAAATGAAAGGAATCAACATACCCTCTTCCAGATGATGCACTAACTGTAGGCACATAATTCAGGTACTTAGTAGGCAATGAATACAGAGTTGGCTCCTCCCAAAACTCCCTTTATTATGGCACTTGCCACAGGTACCTAATTGAACCATTCCTTAAAAATAACACAATAACCTGCAAACACACAGGAGGAACTTCCCAGGGCTCTCCATACAGCTGGAGTAAGATCTGTTAGGCCAAACTTACTCGAGAAAAAGAAAATCACATCCCATGATACCACAGCTGGGCACCGAACAGGGCAAAGAGCAAACCACAACTCTTGTGACCTTCAACAGACCTTCCCACACAGGTCACAGGACTCTTCTCTCCAGCCCTGCACAACTTGCACGCTGTTCTCTGACCCGCATCATTTGTAAGAATGTCTAATCAAAACTGCAGTTGCCCAGGCCAAATATCTTTAATATCCACCGTGAGCAGGCCACCCACAGTTACCAGAAAGGGGAGTTGCATTTCTCTGCAAGGGTCAATAGCTTGTCATTTCAGATTAGCTCAACGGTAGTAGGTACACGAGAAGGGCATCTAGGTGGTAAAATGCCCACAGAACACTCACCCAGGAGCTCACACCACAGCCCACAGCCACAGCTCCTCAATGTAATTTCTTTGTAAAGTAAAAATAGGGAAAATGCCCAGAACCACGATTGTGAGGATCAATGTAATTACTAGGATAACCTGAACTACTAGGCTATCATTACATCTTTTGGACTTTTGAAATAAAACCACAGCAAACTTTTTCGTCTGCCCTGTCTCTGCACAGACAGAATTTTTCACCCTGCCCAAAAGTTATGCCACAGGAAAGCAACCTTTGCAGTCAGACACTGCAAAGGGTCTGAAAGAAAAACAGCACACACAACTTCTCCTTATCTGAGAACGATCACAGCACAGCTGCCTGTAAGAAATGTATGATTCCAAGAAAAGTAAACTACTCTCAAGTGCATAAGCCATGTACAGCTGTGATAAGGGACCACTCATCACAATATCAGCTCAAATATCATTCTACTTCAGCACATGGGGAATTTGGAAGAAACTTGGGTCTCAAAATTTAAACTGACATTTACCTGAATGCTCAATAACTGCCATTCACAGCAAATACCTTGCAACAGGAAAGCAGACTGATGAACCCACAAATTAGTTGGATCCTGAGCAGTGGGATGTCAAAGATAAGACATCCGTAGGTGCATTTTCAGAAGGTCATTAATAAAAGCTGTGCATCAACAAAACACATGACTTGTCTCTACCAGTATCTCCTCACACACAGCACCCCCAAGACCCTCCTCAAACTCTTCACAGCTCACATAATTCTCACTCATCCCCACCATTTGCACCCAGACCCCACCCATGGGAAAGTTGCAGAGACAACTTCTCTTTAACGTGGACAGTATTTGCTTTCACACCACATGCATGTGACACATAAGAGCATTTCTGCCAGTGACATCTTAAGGAAACACCTCTCTGAAAGTCCTTCTCTTTACAGCTGTAAAAACGAAAGGCGTGTGCGGGACAGTCAGACAAGGGTGACAGATCTGATCTGCCACGCATTATCTGATACAAAGGCCCACCTTCAGCCATGACAGCGAGCAAGGCAAGAAGGTAACACCTGCAGAAAGGAAGGGATCACAACGTCCTCTTCTGGATTATGGCACTTATGGAAGGCACCTAATTCCAGTCTTAAGTAAGGAAAGAATAGACAGGAAGGGGATCTCAAAGGTTACATTGTGGCACTTGTGATAAGTCTGTAATTAAGCTATTGGTGAAATTCATCACAACCTGCACATACACAAGGAAGAACCTCCCCATGCTCCCAAATCAGACTGATTACTATGTTGCCTACACAAAAGTCTTTGAGAAGAATAAAGTCACATTCTTGCCGTTTTTCTTCACTGGGGACCACCATCGGACCATGGACTTCAGACAACTCTGCCATTTCCTCCACCATCCCTTTACATTACATGCTTTCCCAAACAGCCACAACATTCACGAGTTTCATTCCTCTTCATAGCAAGCAGACAAACATCACCAAGGGACTGCTAATTAACCAGCCTATTCCTCCACCAGGAGCACAAAGATAATGGCAAGGACGAGTTAAGAAACATTTCGTTGGTCTCTGCATTACCGTGGAGACACAGGAAGGCTGAGAAGAATAAAACAGATGTCGAGTGATGTTGCACACGGGGCCACTAAGTTCGATTTCAAGAGAATCCCAACCTGTTCATTCACATGTGCTGTTAGAAAGACACCTGACCCTGCGAGCATCGTAAATTCAATTTCCCTGTAATGCAACACATCGGTGGAGAATACTTAAGGCTGACAGGAATTCCACTTGTCAGGGTACAAAAGGAGAAAAGAAATGATGCTTTCGGAAAACACAAAGCCTGGCAAAAAAAGAACCTCCAGCCAAGAGCAGCCTCCCTTCTACTACCTCGCCCACCAACTCTGAGGCTGAGCACCGATCCCACGTCCCTCTCACCGCAGCGAGAGGCACCAGCCCACAGTGTAGCAAAGAACGGTGCCTCTCCTTACTTGTTAGCAAATTTCCCTGTGCAGGACACAGGCCACGGGGGAAAAAGGACAGAGGAACAACAGAGGGAAGACTCGCAGACAGAGTTCGGCATGAGGAACTCACCGGGGGAGGGGCGGGGTCAGCAGGTTGGGACCCGGCAGGTTCCTCGTCGGCGAGCAGCGGCGCGGGCTCGTCGGGCGGCGGCCGGGCCGGCAGGGTGTCGCAGCAGCTGTCGGCCGAGAAGCGGAGGTGGCTCTTGCGCGAGTCGGCCGTGAGAGACACGTCGTGCGAGTAGGAGTGCAGGAAGGCGCGCACGCCGTCGATGCCCACGAAGTGCGTGGCCGGCACGCCGCGCAAGGCGCCGCTGCCCGCCGCCAGCAGCTGCTGCTGCGAGCGCCGCCAGCGCCGCAGGCGCAGCGCCAGCAGCAGCAGCAGGAAGGCGAGGAACAGGCACGACACGGCGGCCACGGCCAGCACCAGCCAGCGCGTCAGGCTGCCGCCCGCCTCGCCCGCCCCCGCCTCCGCCTCCGCCCGCGCCGCGCTGCCCAGCTCGGCCAGCAGCTCGGCCACGCTCTCGGCCAGCACCACGCTCAGCGTGGCCGTGGCCGACAGCGCCGGCCGCCCGTGGTCCTTCACCAGCACCACCAGGCTCTGCCGCGCCGCGTCGCGGGCCAGTGGCGAGCGCGCCGTGCGCACCTCGCCGCTGTGCAGCCCCACGCGGAACAGCCCCGGATCCGTCGCCTTGGCCAGCTCGTACGACAGCCACGCGTTCTGACCCGCGTCCGCGTCCACCGCCACCACCTTGGCCACCAGCGCGCCGGCCTCGCTCGACCGCGCCGCCAGCTCCACGCCCGACCACACCGAGCCCGACACAGCCGCCCCCGACGCCGGCGGGTACAGCACCTGCGGCGCGTTGTCGTTCTCGTCCACGATCACCAGCCGCACCGACACGTTGCTGCTCAGCGCCGGCGAGCCGCCGTCCTCCGCCCAAACCCACAGCCCCACCTCGCGCACCTCCTCGTAATCGAACGAGCGCAGCGCGTACAGCGCGCCCGTCTCCGCCTGCACCGACACGTACGACGACAGCGGCCAGCCCCGCACACCACCCTCCCCCAGACGGTACCGCACGCGCGCGTTCTCCCCCCAGTCCGAGTCCGTCGCCCGCACCCGCAGCACCAGCGCGCCCGCCACGTTGTTCTCCGACAGCCGAGCGCTGTAGCGCTCCTGCGAGAACACCGGCGCGTTGTCGTTCACGTCCAGCACCCGCAGACACAGCACCTTGCTGCTCTGCAGAGATGGACGACCGCCGTCGGCCGCCCGCACCGTCACGTTGTACTCCGACTCCTGCTCCCGGTCCAGCTCTTTCGCTGTCACCACTCGGTAGTAGCTGTCCTGAGAGCTCTCCAGGCGGAACGGGACGCCCTCATCGAGCGAGCAGCGCACTTCGCCGTTGGCCCCCGAGTCCTGGTCCTGTACGTGCAGCAGGGCTACAACAGTCCCCGAAGGGGCGTCCTCAGAGACCTCACTAAGCTGAGAAGTCACTGTTAGTTCAGGCGCATTGTCATTGACGTCGGTTACGGTGATCCCGACCTTTGCCGTATCGTAAAGTTGTCCTCCGTCCCGTGCTTGCACCTCCAGCTCGTAGGCTTTGCCTTCCTCAAAGTCCAGGCTTCGCAATAGCGTGATCTCTCCGGTTTCAGCATCCACATTGACAATATCCAATGCCATGTCCGCCTCTTTCTGCAATGAGTATCTGACGTTCCCGTTCAAGCCTTCATCTGCATCTGTGGCCGTGACGGTGACGAGGACGGAGCCCACGGGCACGTCCTCCGGCACACGCACCGTGTACTCCGCCTGGCTGAACACGGGCGCGTTGTCGTTCGCGTCCAGCACCGTCACGCGGATCCGCGCCGTGCCCGTCCGGGACGGCTCGCCGCCGTCGCTCGCCCTCAGCACCAGCTCGTGGAACGCCGCCTCCTCCCGGTCCAGCGCCTTCGCCAGCACCAGCTCGGGACGCTGATCCCCGCCGGGGCCCGTCTGCACGGCCAGCGAGAAGTGCTCGTCGCCGCTCAGCTCGTAGCTCTGCAGGGAATTCTGTCCCGAGTCGGGGTCGTGAGCCCTGGGAAGTGCAAACCGCGACCCTGAGGCTGTCATCTCGCTTATTTTCTCTTCCACTTCAATGTCCTTGAAGGTGGGGGAGTTGTCGTTAATGTCCGTGATTTCCACATCAATTTTGTAAACCTTCATTTCCCCCTCCACTATCAGCTCACAGCGCAGCACGCATTGCTCCACCAGCCGGCACAGCTGCTCTCTGTCGATCCTCTCGGCCGTCACTAAATGTCCTGTCTTCCCGTGTAGAGCAAAGTACTGTGTCCTACCTCTGTCTATGATGCGGACGCCACGGTCTGAGAGCGCCGGCATCTGCAGCCCCAGGTCCTTGGCCACGTCGCCCACGAACGAGCCCTTGGGCATCTCCTCGGGCACCGAGTAGCGCAGCTGCCCCCACGCCGCCTCCCAGGCCGCCAGCAGGACGCCCCACAGCAGCACTCGCTGCCGCCGGCCCCAGCGCCTCCCCGCCGCGCACATCTCCCCCGCCGCACCGCCGGCACCGCAACACCGCCGGCAGATCCCCGCCGCCGATCGCCGATCCGGCTCCCGCTCCGGCTACGACTTGCCGTTCCCGGCCTTCGCCGCCCGCCCCTACGCCTCGCTGTATCTCGAATCCGCACCGCGGGGAAGATCGGAAAGCGACCTCTTTCCGAGCCAGCGATCCAGCGATCGAGCCGGGCCGCAGCGGGCGGGGCTGCAGCGCTCCGACCTTCCTCTCGCTCCTCTCGGTCAACAGCGGCGCCCGCAGCCTCCTCCCGGCACTGCACGCACCGAGCGCTGACGAGACGTGCCCGCCCTGCCTCGTCCACGGGAAGCTCAAAAAGACGGAACATTCACTGCGAAAATATCGGGTCCTGTACAGCGGAGACCTGGCGTTATGTTCTTTCTACCGCACATGAAAATACTGATGGGATTCTGATAATCTATAGATACAAAGTTCTCTTAACATGGCGTGCAAAGTATTCTGAATCTACTCTTCTGTGGTAGGAAAGCACAGCATCTTCCCTGCAACTGCACAGCTTTTTGTGTCAGTCGTTCTCTAGTGTTTTCTCACTGAGCATCCACACTCGAACACCTCCAGCCAGAGTAGATTCCCTGAGCAATTGCACACAGAAATGATGAAGATCCCTTCTCAAAAGCAGCCATTCTAGGGACTGCCTTTCCCTCTCTGCTTTTTTACTTTTCACTTGCACATCCGAGGCTGCTCTGAATCAACCTGCGTTGCTTCCCTTCTTCAACCACTGCGTCAGAATTTTTAATTACAGCCTTACACAACAGACCGTGCATATACCACTTACTGCTCCATTCTTGATCACAGCCTTAGCGAAAGACACTATCAATCAAAGAATACATAAATTTTGCGGGAAAAAAATATTAAAATGAAATACAAGTTAAAAACAAAATCAAACTAACCAACTAATGAACAAACAACAACAACAACAAACCAAAAAAACCGACATGAATTCATTTCTTAAAACTCATTCAATGACTCCGTAGAAAAGCCATTTCAGGACCGGTAAACTACCACACATGATGGAACTCTTAATGATAAATAACTGCAGAAAAAGAACAAAGAAAGCGCTGGTAAAGTCGGAGACGGGTCAGAGATCGATAAATTGATCTCATTACTGCTGTCATTTCTGCAGCTCCCTTACACTACAAGATGGGAAGGCACAGAGTGGAAGGTAGGCATATTCGTTACGGAAGAAAAATTTTTCTTTCATCTAGGCACGTTTCTTTAAAACACAGTAACAATAAAAAAAGAAAAAAAAATTTTTCTTCAGACAACAAATCAGTCGCAATGCATCTATTCGGCAAACCATGGTCAGGAAGGAAAAATCACATCACTGAAAGTCAATCATATTCCAAACTCTGCCATACAGAATTAGTAGATCTCCTTCTAAAAGTAAGGATCTGCCTTCACCGTTACTAACTCGTATTACTTTACACAACACAAGCGTTGCAGAAAACCGTGAACCTGAACATTTGAAAAACAGAGGGGTGGTGTCAATACGTTATCACTCTGACAGGAGAAAAGCAAAACTGAAAGCAGGCCTTTTCAAGTCCACTAAGGTTTTTTGCAGCATAAGCTGAAAGACAAGAACTTCCAACTGAGCCGACATCTGTGACACCTCATGAGGCAGAGTGCCCGCTCCCAAAGCCTGCTGCCTAAACGGGGCAGTTATGACAGGCGCTAATTGGAAAGGGAGACCGGCGCTAACTGCACCTGAAAAGAAACAAAGCCAAAGAGCCCACTGCCGCCACCCCGTCGTTACGAAAAGCTCAGAGAGAAGGAGTGAAAGTGCTTACAGACCTGCGGTGCGTCGGGATCGGCGGGCAGCTCTCCCGCGACGGCGCTGCTGCTCGGGCTCGGCTTCTCGCAGGGCTCCCCGGCCACAAGCTCCTCCGCGGGCACGATGGGCAGCGGCGGCGGCGGCCAAGCGGCCTCGAGGTTGGCGCGGGGCGGCGCCGCCACGCACAGGTTGTAGGAGTAGGGCAAGGTGCCCTCGCAGAAGTCGGCCGGGAAGGCGGCGCCGGCCAGCGACAAGCGCTGCGCGCCCAGGCAGCGCAGCACGCCGGGCGGCCCGGCCCGCCGCAGCCGCGCCAGCACGGCCAGCGCCACGCTCAGCACCAACAGCGCCGACAGCAGCGCCAGCGCCAGCACCAGATAGAACTGCAGCTCGCCCGCCGCCTCGGCGCCCGCCGCCCGCTCGCTCAGCTCCGGCAGCGCCTCCTGCAAGCTCTCGGCCAGCACCACGTGCAGCGTGGCCGTGGCCGACAGCGCCGGCTCGCCGTGGTCCTTCACCACGGCCACCACGCGCTGCTTGGCCGCGTCCCTCTCCGACACGGCCCGCGCCGTGCGCACCTCGCCGCTCTGCAGCCCCACGCGGAACAGCGCCGGCTCCGACGCCTGCACCAGCTCGTACGACAGCCACGCGTTGCGCCCCGCGTCCGCGTCCACCGCCACCACCTTGCCCACCAGGTACCCGGACGACGCCGAACGCGGCACCACCTCGAAAGCCGAACCCACCGAGCCCGACGCCGCCGGCGGGGGCGGGTAGAGCACCCGCGGCGCGTTGTCGTTCTGGTCGAGCACGAAGACGCGCACCGTGGCCGTCGAGCTGCGCGCCGGCGACCCGCCGTCCTGCGCTCGCACGGCCACCAAGAACTCGCGGCACTGCTCGTAGTCCAACGAGCGCTGCGCGTACACCGCGCCGCTCCGCGCCTCCACCGACACCAGCGGCGCCGCGCCCGCCGCGCCCGCGCTGCCGCCCGACAGCCAGTAGCTCACGCGCCCGTTCGCGCCCGCGTCCAAGTCCCGAGCCACAACGCGCAACACCAGCGCGCCCACCGCGTTGTTCTCCCGCACGTACGCGCTGTACGACGCCTCCTCGAACACCGGCGCGTTGTCGTTCACGTCCGACACCTCCAGCAACAGCTCCGCCACGCTCGATAGCGCCGGGCTGCCCCGGTCCCGGGCCACCACCGTCACGCGGTGCTCGGACGCCTGCTCGCGGTCCAGCGCGCTCGCCGTCACCACTTTGTAAGAGCCGCCCGACGACGCCACGATCGACAGCGGCGCCTCTCCCGACAGCTCGCACGACACCTCACCGTTCTCGCCGGAGTCGGGATCGTTCACGTTTAGCAGGGCAACCACGGTGCCGGCTGGAGCGTCCTCGGGCACGGGGGTCGACAGCGACAGAATGGTGATTTCGGGGGCGTTGTCGTTCTCGTCTGTGATGTCTATTCGCACTTCGCAGTGATCAGTGAACCCGCCGCCGTCCGTCGCCTCCAGGCTGAAGCTGTACTTACTCTTCTCCTCGAAGTCCAGAGGACCAGAAGTTCTGATCTCGCCACTCTCGCTGTCGACAGAGAATAAAGCGCTGATGGAGTCCGAGACGTCCCCGAAGGAGTAGGAGACCCGCCCATTGGACCCCGCGTCCGCATCAGTGGCCCTCACTCGCAGCACCAGCGACCCCGCCGGCAGATTCTCCGCCACTCGAGTCTCGTACACTGTTTTGCTGAATACAGGCGGGTTGTCATTGGCATCAGATACGTTGACACGAACCTGAACAGTCCCGGACCTCGCTGGGTCTCCGCCATCCACTGCCGTCAGCACCAGCTCAAAGGAGCTCTGCTTCTCTCTGTCCAACGCTTTCTCCAGCACTAATTCAGGCTGCTTCTTTCCACCTGGTCTCTCCTTCATGGACAGAGAGAAGGACGGGTTGCTGCTGAGCTCATAAGTCAGCAGTGAGTTGCTGCCCACGTCCGCATCTCGGGCCATCTCCAGAGGAAAACGAGTGCCGGGAGGGATCCATTCACCGATCTCGAGTTCCAAAACAGCCTTCCTGAAGACCGGGGAGTTGTCATTCACGTCCTCAATGGACACCTCGACATGGAAGACGTTTAGCGGGTTGTGCACCAGCGCCTCGAAGCTGATCGAGCAGGACAACGACTCGCCGCACAGCTCCTCCCGGTCCAGCCTCTCGCTCACGTACAGGTTCCCGTTCTCCTCGCTCACCGTTAAGTATTTCAGCTGCTTTTTGCCGGCAGACGCCACCCGCAGCTTGCGCGCCGGCAGCTCGTCGGCGCTGAGCCCCAGGTCCCGGGCCAGCGGCCCCACCAGCGAGCCTCTGGGCAGCTCCTCGGCCATGGAGTAGCGGAGCCGCTCCGCCGCCGCCCGCCAGCACAGCCACAGCAGCACAGCGCCCAGCACCGCCGCTCGCCCGCCGCCCGGCCCGCCGCTCGGCCTCCGCCCGCCCGACATCGCCCACAGCGCTCGCTCGCCGAGCTCGCCAGGCTCCTGCCGCCGCCCCGCCTCCCTCGCAGCCGCTCGGCGCAGCCACAGCAGCGCCCGACAAAGCAAACCCGGACCGCCGCCGCCTCCCACTCGCACGCCTCTGCTGCCCGCGCCGCCTCTCGCCTCTGCTGCCCGTGCCGCTGCCGCTCTGGCCCGCACTGCCCGCCCGAGCCAGCAGCCTGCGGGGACAGCACGCACAGGCGGCGGCGGCGGCGGCTCCAGCAACGCTCGCCGGCGGCCCAACAGCGGCACCCGGAGGCGCCGACACAACACTGCAGCCGCCTCACGCCCGCGCTCGGCGGGGAACAACTTTGGCCCGGGATGGGGCTGCAACGGCCCTGGGGTCTCTCCTCCATTCCAATCAGCAATCAAAGCAGGACCTGCTTAATGTGCTTCCTAAGGCCTTTGGAACCGAGATGCGCCCTCGGGTGCTTTTAGGTCATTATCGCAGTCAGAAGCAAATATTCATAAATATTCATAGCAGAGTGATAAAGGAAGGAACTCAGCTGCTCTTAATAAAACCAGGCTCAACTATAGGACCAATACACGATAATATAGGGAAGACTTCAAGAGCATTTTTGAACTGTGTTAGATCTTTTGAAATCTTCTGCATTTATTACCTGGGATAAATTAACCTGAGAAATGGATCAGCCTAAAGCAATGGAAGCAATATCTATGCTAAGGGAGCAGAGTTAA